CCTAAAATATTCAATGTAATTTTGATTACATATGATGTATATTTTTATATACTTTGATGGAATAGCAAACAGTCCAGGGTGTTCCCACCTTCACCCCACGAGGTTGTTTCCTAACAACCCTGAAAATGACATAAAATAGACAACAGACATAGACAATAGATGGACAAATGTTTTTTACAACTTAAAAATTCTACCCAAACACATTACTTGATACCGACTACATAAAAAGTTAAAACATGAATGTCTCAACATTTTTAAGACACTGATATTTTAATGTCAGTTAAGGCCTCAAATGCAAAAAAAAAGAAATGTCAAAGCTGTTTCAGATTTTTCTTGGATCTGCAGGAATCCAGAGAAACAAGCAGCTAGAATTTAGTAGTTTTAAGGTGGAATGTAAAGCTGAAGTATCTTCTTAGGAGTTGAGGAGTTGAAGAACCAAATATGATTTTTGGTAGTTGTGTGGAGAACTTACAAAGAAAAAGAAGCACAGAGGTGCTGAACCCAAAGAAGGATGTTAAAAACAGACATCTACATCAAAGACAACACTGTACTGGCAGTAATTTCATTTCACCTTGCAACTCCTTTCTCCAGCTCAGCTTTGGGATGGTCCTCTGTCCCATTTAGAATGCAGAATTCTACATCTTCAAACATATCCGTCTCCTTCTTGACCCCGGAAAGGTCCTGAGCTTTGAAGTGGTCCATAATACCAATCACCTTCTTAGGCTTTGGTGCAAACTTGCGTTTCTTCTTTTGTGGCTCGTCGTTGCTGATGCTAAGATGCCTCGAAGCTAGTTTTCCTGACGCTTTGTTGCGGAACTGATCCAGCTCTGCCAGAGTCATACACTGGTGCCACTCCTTGTCTTCTCGGATCTGCTCAATCCTTGGGAAGCGCAGTGTGCAGTTGGTTTTATACATGTCACTTCCAACAATCTCAGCCGCCCTAACTTGGATGATAACAGAGTTGCAAGGCTCAATGTAGACCTCTGGTCTCTCTGCTCCACACAGGATAGATGATGGTGGATCATTTTTCCGGTAAACCTTCCAGTGCTTGGCTAACTTTAAACCGAGATCATACAACTCCTTCATAGTGTAGCCGGAGCCAATGCGGCAGAAAGAGTGGAAAACTGACGGCTTCTCTCCAGGCTTGGGAGCTTCAGCAATGGCACATAAGAAATGAGACATCATTCCACCTCGTCTTCCTTTACCCCAGTATCCACCAACAATCAAGAGGTCAAGCTCGTCCATCAATCCATCAACGTATTCCGGCTTTATTTTCAGCCATCCTTCCCCTCGTTTGTCAGGTTTATAGACAGATAATGGATCTTTGACCATGATCCCTTCTTCTCTATTGTCTATTGCATCGTTCAGAGCGTCCACCACCTCCTGCATGGTTCTCGCATCAGTCTTTGGCACCATGTGGATCCTTCCCTTCACTGGGTTGAAAACTGTCTGCAGGATCTCGCAGCGTTTTCTCAGTGTCTCATTACCAAACTTCTGGTTATTGACTAACAGGACGTCGAAGACACAGAAGCACGTCTGCAGCTCTGAGTCCTCCATGAGCCTCTTGATGTCAAACTTGCTTCCTTTCTGCATGAAGCTCTCTGTAGTGGGGTTGTAAGCCATCATCTCCCCATCCAGAATGCAGTTCACTACATGGTTCTTAAAAACATTATGAATATAAGGGGTCAGTGAACCCTCCAGAGGGGACCCTCCAAACTGCTGTGTGTATTCATAAGCGTTGCGGCTAAAATACTTGTAGACATCTCCATCTTTGTGCAGCTGAATGCGCTCTCCATCCAGCTTGGTCTGGATGTAGAAAGGGCTATTGCCCATCTGTTTCTCTACATTGCGTATGTTAGCCACAGCTGCCAACATGGGCTTAAAGGCAGAGAAAATTCCGATAGAAACTTCACTTAATGACACAGAGGGGTCATGAAGCTGCTGACACACTTTGTTCAAGTCTGTGTTGACATTAAAAAGTTCTACAGCGTCTGGGTGAAAGACATGAAGAACTGTCTCTTTACTGATCCCAAGCTTCATGTCCTTTAGAATCATTCTGATCAGCCACTTCTGCTCAAGAGCTGAGCTCTGGGTGATGAGCTGCAGGAGACTCTTTTTTATCAGATCCTTTTGTTTCCCTGCATTGTTGGCAGCTACTGAGTCCAGAAAGTCGTTGACCTCTTTAATGCTGAGGTTTCCTTGGCTGGTGCATCGTTTCTTTAAGACAAAATATGCCATGCCAGCAAAGTCTCCAGCTTCTCCTTGGGAGGTAGTAGGGGCACGGTAGTTTAGGAGTTTATTGGCTTCTGGGCCATTCTTTGGGAGGCCTAACACATCAATGTAGAGCTTAGCTAACATGCTTTCTTTGATACCATATGCCATTCGCTCTCGTTCAAAAGGAGGAACTATGAGGCGCATGGCTGGGTAGAAGGAGTCTGTTGTTTTTAAGTTGCCTTTGTGGAGAACAGAATGAAAGTCTCTCCACGACTTAATTAAATCCCCAAGGATCTTGGATTTTTCTGGACGTAACTTTGACTTTTGGATTTTCTCCAAAGCAGTACACAGGTGAAGAAATGGAACCTGTGATGCAACTGAAGGCCCATCCTCTATGGTGCTTTTAGACGTTCCTTCCATGGCGAAATCTGTAACAATAGTCCAACATTGACAATCAGGGCAAAAATACACAACAAAGTCTGCTCAAAGGTGATTTCTTCCAATAGATTAATCAATACCATGGAGTACAATCACAGACTGCGAGCTGAGAAAATAACTCAGGTCTCAACAAGTAGTTGCACAGCAAAAGTTGCAGGGGGCTGAAGCTGCAACTGAAGCCTACAACTGAGTCCTGTCCAGTTCTTATGTATGTTCATAATTATATTATTTCTTTTCATTTCTGACAACATTAAATCAAATTAAATGTTATAATTCTGCTTAAATTAACGAAAAACTATGCAGGGAATAAACATGCCACCGGCGTGTGTTGTCCAGATAGCTCCACCCAAACAGCTCAGTAAAAATTGAAATATATTTCTTAACACTAAACGTTCTTTTCTTAATCAACACAATGAACAAGTCAATAAAGGGCCATTTTCATTGAACAGCCAAAATACATCTGTAAGTTCAGACCATATTGCTTACTTTTAGCTGGAATAACAGAACATTCACAAGCGGTCTATTGGTGTGAGTCCAAGATTAAAAAAACGTGAGCTGTCCTACCTACCTGTTCTGTATGTTCTCCAGAGCACAGTGACCAACTTCGAAGAGAGCTTTACGTTACTGTGGCTTACCGATCTGTACCGGAAACACACCTTATTCTGGGCGCTACAGTTTGATGTTCCCTCTTCTATCTCAAGATGTTCTAACAACTCTGATAGTTATTAACACTGAACAACATCAAATGTTGACGACAAAGCCCACCATTGAAATTTTAAAATGAAAAATATATATCACACACTCAGTGTTCAATTGTATTCAAAAGTATTTATAACTCTGACTTAGAGTTGTGGAAAAAGATGGAAATTAATTACGAATTTGACTGAATAAATACAAGACTTAAAACATACTAAAACGTTAGAGTTTGTTACGATAAAGTTATACTTCTGTAGAACATTATAAATACCCATTCCCCCAATTATATTATTCCGAAATATATTTCCGTACCGTAGAATTAACAACACGTTAGGTGTTTTGGTGGAGGGTTCTTGGATTACCATAAAGTAAGCTGGCGTCCTTACGTAGCAGTTTTACATACTTTATTTAAGTAATTATATAATATATTCGAGTTCAGCTGTAGGTGAGGGAAGCACAGCCTTGTCTCGTACCGGAAACAGGAAGCAGCTCCACTCCTGCGAGGGGTTGCGACAAAAGCAATACTTAGTGTTTGAAATGTTTAGGCGTCGTCTTCTTGGTCGTTTTGTTCTCCAAATAACAGACAGCTAGTATCTCACTGACTTCCGCCAACACCACACCTGTACGAGCGGTAGGCAAACAAGGAAGGTACAAAGATTTCCCCTAGAAACAAGAGCGGAACCTTTTTTCTGGTGCACGGTCGCTAGGTCCTATCTACAAACAAAAAAGAAATGTAAAAATACTAGACTTGGAAAACAATAAATTAATAAATAAAAAATAGAGAAAACTGTGCTGTGCTGCATTGTTTTGTTTTATCTAGTGAAGTGTCCTTGGGTGTCTTGAAAAGCGCTTATAAATAAAATGTATTATAATTACTATTATTAAACATTTACAAGGATCTTAATATACAAATTTCCGACTCGACATCAGCCGTTTATTGCTATTTTATTATAAATTTAATGTTGTAATTATTAAGCCATTTTGTTGGTCTCTTTTAATCATGTTTAATATTGTGTTTATATTTGCCCTGCTTTAGTATTTTTTCATACATCCACCTACTGTATACTAAGCGCTTAAAGGAGAGTTACTTGGTCATACAAAAGAAAATAGAGGAGACTAATTTGACGTTTCCCATCCATTTTTATCGACACATTTTACCTTTGTCAAATAAAGGTGTTATTCTAAATAAGTGTGCAACATATAATACATACATATATATATATACATATAATATACAAATACAATATATTCCGCCTTCTGTCGTCCGGGGAAATAATTATGTAAACTTAAAGTGCCACGTGCTGTTTTATAGGCAGTTGACATTTAGTCATACACACCAGACGCTTAAATAAGGTGCGGTGAAACTTCTTTCTGCCAACAGGCGGCGCCATATGTATGTGCAGCAGAGGGAACCGCACAGAGCCGAGTCACATGATCAGCTTGGGTTGTTTACTTCTCTGCTGCTGCTGCAGTGAAGGATCCTGGGAAATGCGTAGAAGGAGGGAGGAGGAGGAGGAGGTTATGCGTGTGCTCCAGAAATGAACCTGCTGCTTTTTTTCTTAACACATAATATAGTGCAGAGGAGAGAGCTGATGTTGCTAGCACAGCAGCTTAGTGCACAGACTCTGCAGAGGACGCACCTGTATTCAACATATAAAATCCAGTGTTTTTTTTAAACAAACGCATACATTCACATATATATACACATATACATACACACACTGCAGTAAAGGTACTCTCATGCAGCAGTATGCAGTTACATAAGCCCTGCTGCAATTGCTGTTTCACTGCAAACGAACTCAGCCTACAGAGACAGTAAACAACTGACGTCACTGCTTCCGTGGCATGCATCAGCTTGTACCAGGACTTAGAGTAGAAGGGAGGAGGAAGAGTAGGAGCTGGAGGGAGGGTGGGAATTGTTTACAGGGAGCCCTGAGTGAAGTTTTGCAAGAAAGACAGAGGAGACAGTAAGAGCTGAGTAACAGATCTACATCCCCCTTCGTCATGGCTGATGATGAGGTGACACGTCAGCCTCCTCAGTCAAACACCGTGCTGTCATTGTCATTAATGTCCAAATTATTATCATTTATATAGTTTAAATTCAGACCAGATGTATCCAGGCGAGTACCAGCAGCAGTTATCAATAATTAAGGTTTCATTACAGTTCATTAAGAACTACATTTTCATGTAACAGTGAGTCATCAAGATAACAGTTGCTCCAGAGGAGAGCTGACAAAATGACTATGGTGTCATAGTGATGTAACCTTTGTCAATATGAACAGGATCTGACCTAACCCTAACCTAAACCTGAATTAACAACTAGTTTAAAAATGTGGCTGTTTACCAGGAATTATTGTTGTACTCTTGAATTGAATTATGGGAAATGCTTAATTTATTTTAGTGGTTTAGCCTCAGTTTTAAAATTTATGGCACAGCTAAAATATGTATTTCAAGAAGGAACATCAACCTGCACTTAACCACCTCTGCCATCTGCCTCTGCCTCAACCATCTCTGATAAGAATTAATCACATTTGCAGGTCCAAAAAAGTCAGATAAGTTCTGGAGAATTCTTGTCTCAACCTCTTTCAAATACACGACAATAGAGATCCCTAACAATGCCTAGGAATGGAATGTCTAATAACCAATTCTACTATGAAGGAGTGTATTTGGAATGAGGCAGTATTACGCAGAGGCTGTTTTGAGTACAGTATGTACCCACTAGTACATGTATAATTTGTGTTCCTAGCAGCTGTTTTATAAACACACTATGTCACAAGCTTGTCAAAGCTGCTTTTGATGCTGCACCGCCTCCAGAAACGATTGAACTCGTCACTTCCTAACCTCATACAAACGAGAGGACAGATGAGGACACAGAGATCCAGTTCTGCTCCGTCACACTACATGAAACATTTCTGTTTTTTTTCAGTTGGCCTGGTGCGAGTCAGACAGGACAGCACTCGCTGACCTCTGGCTAAAATTAGCCCAGTATCACACATCACTGATATTCCAGAGCGTCATCTGTCCTCTTTTTTTTTGTACTTGTTTAATAACTGTCTGTCTCTCTATCTGCACCCTCAAAAACCCCTGTCAAAAACACACTGTTTCATAACAGCTCTCTCACTCACTCTGTCTCTGTTTTGTTTTCTTCTGCTTCTTTGCTGGATAATATTCTGACCATTTTTTTTTCTCATACATTTTTTGGACCTGACCTGTGCAGCGGTGTTGTCATGTGTAGATGAGAGAATAAGATAACGGGCGCTAAAGTAATAAAGATAGGCCGATGAATGAAAGGCAAAGTCAGGGTTAGATTAGGAAGCTCTGATTCAAAAGTCACACTTTATTAAAGATTCCTGATGGTCATTTATTTTAATAAAATACTGAATGTGAGCCACGTGTGGCTTTCATTTTTGTGTCCCAAAGTACAAAGTGCTGGGCTAGTGTAAAAAAACAAACACCAACATGTCCGGGGGCAACTAGTAGTTTAATTTAAGTAGTCAACAAGAGGGTCGGAACTATTACTGTTACTGACCCCTGATCTAGAGAATGTCTGTCACAAAAAACTCCCAAATTCATCCAATCTGGAAGTGAATGCAGTCTCTACTGAGAAGAATATGCCCCTCCTGCAGACACGTTATACAAATCTTATACAAGTTATTCCAACAATGGCTGTGTCTGAAAACGCTCCCTACACTGTACACCGTTTACTATATCTGGGGCACGCCCTTTTGTAGTGGCGTCCAAATATGCAGTGAGTGAAGTTGTCCACTATATGGGGCACTGGATGTATGCTAGAATGCACCATGAAATCTAGTCTACATCTGATGTACACTAAACAAGCAACATATCCCATCATGCATTGCAGTTGTGAGCTCGTCAAATATTTAATCAGAAAGTCCTTGGTATAACCTGTTGTAAAAATGATGGTAATAGTTAAATGAACAGCACCGCAGGTGAATCCTCTTAAAGAGACCTGTTCCATTGAGCAACGTAAATAAGTCAGTGTTTAAGGAGTCGGCTCCTATTCATGTGTACACCTGGCAAACAAAGGTGTCAATTAAACAAGGTTTTTATTTACTCCTCAGATGTGACATTTGTTTTGTGAGTCACAAAGAAGTCAGTGGATTTGCATAAGTCTGGTCTAAAGCTAGTAACTAACCATCAAATCCAGTAATACTGACGTTATGTCATCATTAGTTCACCATTCTAAATAGACTCGTGGTAAACACTGTGTAGTTATTTTGAGCAGCTGATTGTAGTTCACTACTACATACAACATTTCATATATTCATTCTAATTCATTTCATATATTCATTCTAATTCATTTTAATACTCATTTGTTTACCTTATCAACAAAACTGATAAAGATTTTTCTTGAAAAAGTTGCTTGCAAAAAATATTTTTATAAGATACATACTGAAATTGATGTTCTTTTCTCCATCTGGTTTGACGTTCTTCCAGTAAAAGCAGGGTCTCGGGGTTTTCTGTGGGTTTAATCCTTATATAACCAGTCTTATCACTACAAAAACACCTCCTGGCTTTTTTCTCCCAGTAATGTTATTATTATAGTATTTTCCAATTACAGAACTCCAAAAACCAAGGCCATATATAAAAACTGAAATAAACAGACCTGTGTAAACACCTGAACATAGCACCTCAGTATGTAACGTTGTATGTTGTGTGTAGACAGCCACATTATGACACTATGACAGTCTTTAGACGTCACAAAAGCTTTGATGTTTAATGAAGGAGCAGACTCTGTTGACAGTGTACTTTTCATTAATGCCAACGCTAATCATGTTTTTATTATGGGTCATGCACAACTCAGATGAAGCTCAGAGAACCCAAGGAGCTCCGTGATTCCATGAACTGCTGACAGAGAAGGCACTCTGCACCTGCTGTTGACATAACACACGTGCTGATGCTCTTGGCTTCATTTTCTATGGTCTTCCTGCAGGTTTAGTAAAACATTTTTGGGGGGGTTTCAGGTTTTTGTAACATCTTGCTCCCCCGCCGCCTCTCTGAAGACCGTGTTCTCCTCTTTATGGCTTAAGCTTTAAAGAAGGTATGTTGAATATTTCTTATATTTGACCTCCCCTGCACACAAACATGCCCTCCACACAACCTGGGTCTGGTGTGTTGTTGAGGTGACTACTAAGATTCCTATAGGCTCCAAAGCGTTCCCAGTAATAGGATTTATCCTGTTTATACTGCTGCAGAAAAGCTTCGGGTAAAGAATGTCATACGGAGAGCAGCTGCACTCCTGCCTCTACAAAGAAATACACTTCTGAATTTGTAACACAGACAGGAAGTAGAAGTATTTCTGCTTAAAACATTTTCCAGTATTTGATCTTTTTCTGGGCAAGAGGCCTTAAATCCTTTAAAACGTGCTCCATTATTTGTTTAAACAACGCTCTTTAAGCTTTTTTAAACCTTATTCTCATCTTGCCGTTGTGTTTCAATATCTTAAAATGTACAAGAAAAGCCGAGGAGTTTTGAACAGTTTCTGTCAGTAAACCAAGAGTATTATAAACAAATACATTTATATCACTGCAAAGAAAAGTACCATGCACTGGTAAAGTACTTAAAGTCCAGTTTGAGATCCTGACTTCTCTACTATTGTGTCTTAAAAAGCACAGGTCTAATGATGGTAAATTCACTCTAACGACTCTTCTACACCAGTGGTGGTCACTGATTAACCTGCCCAGAGTTTAAATGAGCAGCTTGACCCACATCAGTGACACACACTCAGACATTTAAAACACCTCAGTGCTGTGTTTTCAGCAAACACCAGGGGAGGTTCCACAATCACATAGGGTGGCAATGGTGAGCTGAGGTGTGTGTGTGTGTGTGTGTGTGTGTGTGTGTATGTGTGGGTGTGTACTGACTTCTTTAGTGTGTTTTCTTGTGAAAACAGTTTTTTTTTAAGAAACAACAGCCCTCAGGGGAAACAATGTGGAATCTCATTGTTTACAGTTGGGGAACAGTGTATACTTTTTGGATTAAGTTTTGATGGAATTGTAATTTCTAATATTCAGTCAGGGGTTTACTGGATTATATTAGCAGGGCAAGTTCAACCACTGACAACAGTTTTTAAAAGAAGAAAACAAACAAACAAACAATGGGTATACCTCGTAATTTGTAACACAATCAGATGCAAATGAAATACTTATTATTAAAGTATTTGCATTGCAGCCTTTTAAAATATATACATTATACGACTTTTCCATTCCTAATGTTTGTTACCTTTGTCTTTGTTTGGTCTCATATCAGCTCAGGAGGTTTCTGTCTGACTTCAAGGGCCTGGAAAACATTAAGTGGATTCATTATTAAAAAAGAAACAACTAAACATTCATATTTTGTCTTTTTGACTGCAGTAGGTTGTACGAAAACCTACTACAGTAGGATTATGTCACTCTGGTAAACACTTACACTCATTTAGATCACATGCAGAAAAATAAGAAAAGAGAAAATACAGACAGAGGGCAACATTTCTGCAAATGTAAACCTCTACTGTATGTGTGTGTGTGTCTTATACGACATTTATTTGTCATTATTCAAGCATCATTAGTTGATACTGTGTTTGACAACAAACATGGCACATTATCAGGTTGTTTGTTTGCTGTGTAAGTCAGAGAGGCTTTATACCCAAGTGTTGGCTGCCCTGTAGTCCAGGTAACACAGGGACAAAAGTACTCTCTGATAGATTAAGCATTACATAACTCTGCATTCCACTCAGCTGGTAAACAAGCACTTGTACTAGAGTAAAACACAGAGAGGTTGATGCTGGAGGACAGTGAAGCATTTGAAAATGTTTCAAGTATTTCTAATCAAAGCTGGGAAACATCCATTTGTGTTGTCGTTCTGTTCTCTTTAGAGAAATGGCTGCTTTTACTGCAGGTCTGTGGTGTTCAGACAAAAATGTAGTGGCCTGCAGGCTTAGAAATGAGCCGAGAAGATGTGAAGTGTATTTGAAGGATTTATGGCATGTATAAGGGTTTGCATGTCAGGGTTTGACATCAAGCAGCCTACTTAGTTTTTACCCTAAAGTTACAAGATGACAGATAGTATTTGCACACAAATACACGCAGAGAGTGTGTGCATCTGAGAATAGTGCAATCAGCTTTTATCTGGTTTTGTTTTCTATTTAAAATTTGTAATTTTTCACTGCAGCAAAGTGAAGTGAGGGATAACTTCATGTAATTACTTTCAGTGGGGGGGGGGGGACAGTGGTGGCTTGGTGGTTTAGGAAGTGACTTGTGTCTGGAAGGTTGCAGGTTCAATTCCACCAACCACCAGGTGCCATTGAAGTGCACTAAGCATACCACTGTCCCCACACTGTTTCCCAAGCACTCAGCTTGAGCTGCCCACTACTCACTAGGCGATGGGTTCAAGGCTGAAGTCACATTTGTTGTGTGCTGTGTCACAATGACAACACATTCTATTCACATTTCTATTCTATTCTCCAAACACCTTTAAACTGAGCTGCTGTGCTTGACATGATAAGTTCTTTTGAGCAGTAATGTGTCTGCAGCTGCAGCAGCACCTGCTCCAGCTGCTGATACGTGTCACATCACCTGGCTTCTCATGAATAGTGCAGCGAGAGTACATATTGTGCGTCATCAAAATTACCCTGAACTATTAGCAGATGAGTGATACTAACATCTATGAAAGGCATTTCTTTAGAAATTAAAAGTGTGTGTTTGGTTGATGTTTAGCACACAAACGTCAGGAGATTCGCTACTTGAATGTAGCATCAGGGTGTGTTCATATCAAGCATATTTGCTGTGTTGTATTAGAATTCCTCTCAGTGTGAGAACGCAGGCTGAATCAATGTCACACGTGAAAACAGAGGTATTTAGGAAGAAGGGTTTTTTTAGGTCATGTGACACGAGGTAGGGTGTAGTCTGTTATGTGGACATTTTTAATTAATCAAAATAACTTACTGAGAGCCATGCTTATGGGACTAATATTTTTCTGCGCAATTGAAACCCTTAGTATACTAGTGTGAACCAAGGAAGTTCCTAGAAATTAGAGAGTTAGATACTCCAAAAAACCGCTACCAGGAAGAAAAGCCAAGCTGCAAGAAATGACAGTACTCTGAACTGATCTGGCATCTATTCTCTGTTAAGCTGTGGCTTAAGATGAATTTGCAATCGGAGAACAATAAAAGAATAAATTGATTAAAAAAAAAAAGATATGTTGCATGTTCAATGAAGATAATAAGAATAGTGAGATATTTTATTACACAAATAACACCATTGCAAAGAGGTGCTCAGAACCGGGGTTTCTGTTGGTGACAATGCAGAACTGTTAACTGGTTTTTGGGCCTGTCCAAAAATTCAATCATTCTAGAGGCAGGTGGCAACAGAGAAAAACAAAACAATTAGGTTAGAAATAGATTACTCTCTCATTATTTTATAATTGGGTACATTTCTTGATATATTGCTAAATAAAAATAGATAGATATAAAAATAGATATTTATTAATGATACTTTTGGCAAGTAGCAGGAAGGTTATAACACAAAAATAGCTGCAGCCTGATCTTCCAACCAAAGATCACATGCATAGAATTGTAAAATAAACTCACTGTATGGCGAGACTTACTTAAACTGGAGAAATGTACTGAACACTTTTGTATTAAACTGTGATGTATGAAGTACACACTATGTGGTCACACTGTATCCTCACTGACAATCTCATGTTCTGTAGTTTGTCTTTGCTGTGGACCATTAGAAACGAAGGGGATTTTGTGTTTTCTTCAGAAATTACTGTAGACCACACCTTTAACATGTCCCTAAAAAGCTATTCTCTGCAGGTAACTGTAGTTTTGTCATCTACGTCATTAAGGTAAACTGAAACCAAAAATAGTTCAAACTCTTGTTAAGTCACTGTTGATCAACTGTTGCTCCAGGCAGTGGTGGATCAACTAATCCTGTGTTTCCTGACGTGAAAAAAAAATTGCATTGGAAATAAAGGATATTTCCTTAGATTCTATGAATATAATGCTGCTACAAAAGCTTCTGCATCTGTAAGCGTGCCCAAATCTCTGGAGACTCTTCATGCAGTTGGAAACATACGTAAAAGAAGTGCAGGTCACTGCTTACATCAGTTCCTAAGACATCTCTTCAAACCTGTCTATAGAACTCTGTACACCTCATATATGCTGTTTCCCCACAGATGGATGCACGGATCAACCAGCAGGGTTCACAGGGCACATGACTGCGTGTACATACATCCATGCCGTCATCATTGTCCTACTAATCTTTGCTTTGCATGTTTGGCCTCAGTTTGATTGTAATAGGAAAATGTCGTGCCATAAAAATTCTGCTGTCGTGCAGAAGCCGTGTTTCCTCTGTGGATTAAACAATGCTCAGTGGATTTGTTCATGTTTTTTTCATGTATTCTCTGTAATTACAGGAGATAAAAACAAACATGAATCATTTCACTGTAAATAATGGATTATGTGATATGACACTAATGTATTCTAAGAATAAAAAAAAATTCCATCTGACATCAATGAACTTTGCATTTAGAACAGTGGGAGATTTGTGGTTGGATGTGAAAATATTTTATCTGGGACTGGGAGGTGAAGATTCGCCAAATAATAAACACTTACATGGATGTGGCAGTGTTTCATTTAGACCTGGTGTCTTTGAACTGGATTAAACTGAAAAAAGATCCATTTATAAGATGCTTCTGTGTGTGTACAGCAAAGACATTTCCGTGAAACCAAACACAGTTCTTCCTCGGTTGCTACGCTGCTCCTGCTTGACTAATGTCTGTGCCGTCTTACGTAACATACCACAGGTCAGGTTTCACCCCGAATAGAAGTAGGTGAACATGGGAGAAAACAATCTGGCAAGTTTGTCAGGTGACAAGGACTGTGGTCTGTTTAAAGGCATAGGCAAGGCATTTTCTGTACAGTTATATAAGGTGTTCACACTGCCTTCCAGTGTATTTTTAAGAGATTTAATTAAATTTCATAAATGTTAAATTAAAAAAAGTGAAGTTGCTGATTACCAATATTCAACATTATTATAAAGGCATCCAAAGATCGTCATCTACTGATTTTATCCATGTATTTGACAGACTTTCATGGAAGACAAAAACAGGAACTTTTTATCCTTTTAATTCTATATATTGCAGATAAAGCATTTAATTTTTAAAAATCAACATTTTTCCCTTCCATTCATTCTTCACTACTGAAGAACAGTGTCCAGGTGCTGTGCAATATAACTGTTGTGAACTCTTTGAACCGACTCCACCACAGGAAACTCACGTTCACGTGACTTTGTCACTGTTTAGGTACCATTAGCTAACTACTGTGAGTCCACTCTTGTTTGTATTCGTTACAACAATCTGCGAGGAAGAGTCTGCTGATAAGACAACGTGTTCCCAGCTGACAGGACGACAGCAGCAGGAGTGTTTTGTCAGCAGTGGGTGGGACATGGGCTCCAGTACTGTCCAAACACGTGGTGATTTAATGCTGCGGACCAAAAAGCTGCAGAGCTGCGAAAGCACATGTTCCCACACAGCCAAAGGAAAAAAAAGTGGCGGTTTTCTTTACATGTATCTGCCAAACCTCTGTAATTAAAGCAGAAATTTCTCAGGAGAAGAATCCAGATGATGCAAAAATTGGAATCCGTACAGACTGAAGTCCAATACAATAGGACTGAAAGGAAGATCTTGGAAGAAAGTAAAACTGGGTCACATGGTTCTTCTTCTACGTAGTCCACCTCCCACCAGATTCCCTGGAAGTGTTTGAAGTGCTTTTGGGAGGAAAGTAGTATCAGTTTAGGCAAGATGATAGTATTGCTTTTGTAGCAGAAATATATCTGTGTGAATCTGTGTCAGTTCCTCCTGAAGGATCCTATTTTTTGTGTGTAAATGGTCTGTGTTTCCTTCTTCCACACTACTCGCCTGCTGCCTTCTGGGAGGGTCTATACCTCAGCTGATAGTTGGCAAATGTCTTACAACCGGAAGGTTGGGGAGACAATTCCAGGTTTGGTCAAATATACGTCGCCTGGCTGTCAGTAGGTAGAAGGCCAAACCTGCAGGGTGACATACTTTAAAAGATCAGGAGGACTGTATGAGCACAGTGCACACTTCTCATGGTTAATGTCGTTAAGAATGATCTTTGGAGCAAAGAAAAACAAGGGGTCCAGTCGTTGATGGTGTGACCTCCACACAGTCCTGGTCTCATGACCACAGAGTCAGACATGAGGAGACACGGGGCTTTAATCCAGACTACATTCACAAAAGATGAGCGATTGGTTCTTCAATACCGTACGTTTGGAACAACACGTCTTTACACCAGCCTGAAACTATTTCATAGCACTGTATTTCTGGGAACTGACCCTCACTCCAGCAGAAGAATGTGCCTTTGTTTGGTCTTTCCTAAATGTATGTTAGTATGTCATATTTTCATGTTTGTTAAGAGTCAGCGCCAGCTGGTGTAAGTGGGTCAGGACTCTACTCTGCTGCTGCTGCTGCTGCTGTTGCCGCTGCGGATCCGTGGCTGAAATCAATGAGGTGAAGCTGAAAGCCACTGTAGGCTGATTCCAGGAGAAATAATGCGGGCAGTTACTCTGAATGCCACGAAGAGCCACAGCACAGCAGGGCAGCAGGTGGACAATGAGGCCCAGTGGAGCTGAGGGTGGATGAGATTTCCAAAAGAAGCAGCAGGGCTCCACTGTTAAAAGAACTGCTCACATGCATGTAATATGTGATGAATATCACATTTTCCAGTGTTATGTACAGCACTGTGGTTCATCCAGTTCACACATTTTAACACATGGGAAATTCCTGTATCGCTCCTCTGTTCAGCACAAACAAATGTTTCTTACAGTTGAAGATCCCACTGGAACTGTTAGCATCTGTTATTAGGTGTTCAAAACAGCTTTTGTTTTGACGTTCGTAATTCGTGTGTACTGTATGAACATACATATCGACATTTAATGTCTGAATACTCACCCGGTGTCTCCTTACGTGCTGCTCGAACATCCCTGCCGCTGCGACGTTCCATTTCGTCCGTTGACGATACAAAGAGATAGCAGCGCTTGGGTCCCGTCTTAATTGCGTTCCGGCGGAAGTTGGACTTTGTCCCGCTCTGCATTAACAAGGTTCTCCTTGTCACGCTTCGACGATATACGGTGTATCAGTTCGTTCCGGAAAAATACGCATTCCGTTACAGCACTACTGTGTCGGTTTAAACCACCCGGAGGTGCCCACACCTTTTTAGCTTAGGGACTCCTTATATGACCAGGTTAAAATGATCTACAAACAGTGATCTACAAGATTTTGTCAACTCACATTACTTCTCGTGTATGGATTAAATACATGTACCTGTATGTCACATTAAGATATATGTTTATTTTTATTCTTTTTTAAATTATTATTAATAATAATAATAATAATTGTTTAAATTATTTAAATTGTTTAGGACTTCCCAGAGCTCCCTTTAGGATCTACTAGTAAATTGTGATCGACTTATTTGGCACCCCTGGAGAGAACTCTCTTCATTTCAGGCTGTGCCGTCTAGTATCTGGATAGAACAACACAGAACACAGGTGCAGAAGAACACATGAAGTTCTTGACCCTTGATTGTTAACACCAGAAGTTGTTGTTGTTAAACACAACAACAGCAGACCAGCCGTTACAGTACCATGGCCATGGCAGGAACCAGGAGCGTGTGAATTATAACCTTTGATTTTCTGTGCGTAATAAAGTGGGCAACTGAAGGACTCTGTTGTCCAATCAGAAGAGGCAGTGTATTGTTAAGATAAAGTATTGGATTTACTTCAGATAGATACAAATAAATATTATCAAGATGGATAACAACTGTGCACCAGTTTACCTCGTTGACCCTGTCATTTCAAACCTAACTGGTGGGCGTTCCCTTTTTTCCCCAACCAACAATTACGTACATTTGTTGTGAAGGATTGGTGTGTGGAAGAAAAAAACATGTCAGTGAATATCAGGTGAAACGTCAATCTGCCTATTGTCTGTTTGCATGTGCTTGTGTGTAATTGAATTATCTTATCTGCTCTCGTGCCGCCAGTGATTTTGTGCATGTGTTCGGTTGTTATAGTGTCCATAAAGGAAAAGTAATGAGTATCAAAGGGTTTCATTTCATTTGAAATTTCCTGGTATTCACAAGTTTGATGACGTCAAGAAATATCACAAGTTTATAGACGACAAGAACACGTTTCATGACCAATTTCAGAGTCACGATAACCTCTCTCTCTCTCTCTCTCTCTCTCTCTATCTGTCTCTCTCTCTGTCTTTATGTATGTGTGTGTGTGTGTGCAGCATATAATTGTGAATTCCAAATTTAGGAATAATTTGGGGCATCCAGGAATAACTCACACACACTAACGCACACTTCAAAGCAGCATCCTGTAAAGGGTATTTTGGGAAGCCTTAACTGTTGTTTTACTGGCCTGAGAATTGTACATCCATGACACACATTTTAGTAACAAGTCCTTTTGTGGAGACAGACTTTTGGCAAAACAACAAACACATCAGGCTACAAAGGCCTCTTTGGTTTTTATGGTGTTCTGCTGTAGTGTGCCCTCAGAGAAAATGTGCAAACAGGTTTCATTCTGTGACAGAAAATAGAAAAAGTTGTGTGTTTTTCTTTATTTTCCCAGACAGTCAGTGGGACACTGTGTCCCTCCTGGTGGACTGACTGGTGGCTGGATCTTATGTAAACTGGTTTCTGCCTGGCAGGAAAACAAAGTCCTACTGACAGTGTCACTCCACTAATTAATACATGCTAAGTAGAGGTTTGCCTTCAGTGGCAGTCTATGCGTGTATGTGTGTGTGTGTTGGCACAGAGTAATTTGTAAAGTGTCACGTCTGCAATGGAACCACATTGCGACTGAGATTTTTTTTTTCAAAGGCACCCATTAAAGCTGTAGTACATGGAAAGCAGTCACATTCATAGAAACATGCTAATGGATTTCTGCAATTCATGTGAGTGACCCACTTCAAATTATTACACACCACTGAACAGAGAATTTTACGAGAGAGGTTCTGTAAAGACCTGGGGCTGCTTTTCGGCTCGTTGTACTAATTAATAAGAGGGTGGAGCATCACTGAGACTTTGTGTGTGTTCATTTGTTTATTTAAAAATGAAAATGGTGCAGCTCAGTTTAAGTGAGTTACAAGTTGCCCCCAATAAGAGACCACCTTTCAGTTCATTGACCATTTAATGACACCCAACATTAGGATAGGGGCATTTTGAGGGACACAGTAGCTTGTTCTGGTGGTCATGGCCCAACATTGGGTGCTGCCTGTCCATCCTACCTAGGCTCAGTTGTCATGAAATATAAAGGAGGGTCAGAATACACATTATTAATTTCATTTTCATGTAAAAAACCAACAAAGTAAGAAAGTGCGTTTGTTTTTTAATAATAAAAAGTGTCCGTTTTGTTTATTGTGTGAGGCGTTATGTGACTCATAAAGCAGCCCCTGATAGACGGCGACCTGCGTGGGTGAATGTGCAGGACTTTGATATTACAGCTGTGCTGACAGTCACAGGATCCATATCTGAGAATTCCTGGCTACAGCTTGGTGCTTGACTTGAAAAAGAAAATCAGTTAGTCTGACTCAGTGTGTGCCTCTATAGGCCTGATTGGAATCAATAATAAGTAACCAACGATAAGAAATGTGACCTTGTCATTGGGAATTAATCTAATCTTCCAGTGATTGTGTGTGAAAAGATAAAGGAAAAAAACACACAAGCTGCTACTGCTGCTGGAGCGTGTGTGTGTTGGGAGGCAGAAACAGGTGAAGAGAGTTGTTTACTTCAGGATTCAAACCCTCTGACCTCTGTGCACTCGCTACACTCTCATTTTTGGAGACGTGTGGCTTGGCAGGAAGTCATTGGCTCAGTTTGCCCCCCTCCACTTCCCACCCTCCGCCTTCGTCTGTTATAAAACAGCTGCTGTGCAGAGAAAGTGTTGGCTCTCAGAGCTGAGCTTCTCACTCTGTACAGGAAGGAAATTCTCCTTCTGTCCCGACAGACAGGAGGAGATCTGACTGCGATATTACAGTCACTGATAATGATGAAGTCGTATCAGGTTCAACAAAAAAAAATCAAATTCTGTTCAAACTGTTCAGCCCTAAAATAATCCCTTCAAGGTTGAATGTTTAAAAACAAATGAGTGCAGTGAATGGTGAGCATACTGTGGCCCACATCTGGTGTCCAGACTGTGGGCTGCATCTCACAAAAGTGGACAGGAACACAGACATTTGTATTGAACACCTGCACAAGCTGAGACCTGCTGAAGTGGAGAGCTGGCAAATTATGATTTTAATGCTGATGATGGATTTTTGCATTGTGTGACGGTGGAATGTTAAAGTTAAACTTGTTGACAGCTGCTGTTCTACAGGCACACATTCAGTTGTTATTCATTTTCCAAAACAAATCTGGTAAAACTGATAAAAATATCTGATTTATCTTTTAAAGAATACAACTAAAAATTACTGAGATATTGATAAATGATTTCATACTGAAGGTGTAAGGCCTTACTTCTCTATAAAGATATAACAGTGACCAGAAAACCTTTTGGACAAAAAAAGAGAAAGAGATGGCTGTATGTCATTAAATAAATTCATTTATTTCCGTAGGTTGCTATCCATAATCAATACAGACAAAAGCAATACTCTACTACCCAAATTATAAATCATTACTTTATCATTATCTCTGGTGGGTATCACAATAAACAGTATATTGATTTATGTACAATGGAAGACGACAGAACATTCAAACCGAATCAGTCCAGGAACAGTGTTCAAACAGAAGGATTCTGTCCACGGACACAGAAACACATCAGCGTTCCCAGGGATGAAAAAAAGAAAACACAGGAAATACAGGAAGAGAAGAAGAAAAACAAAAATGCAATGGTACATTTGGTTCCACGGGTTGTAAACTAGATCGTACTCATGTCACTATTGCATAAGCCGTTAGGAAAAGTGTGTCAACAAGGCAAAGAGAGCTCTTTAATAAAATAGACAGATTTGTTGTTTGTTTTGTTTTTTTTATCGTAAAGTTACAGACTGTGAAAAGAAACAATACAATCTGCTGTACAACTGCCCCCAACAGGGGGAAAATCCCCCCCGCCCTGTTTTTAAAAATCTGTAGCCAAAGTCTTTACAGAGGAATATCATTGCAACATAGGTCAACTCCAACAACATCTGAGAGTTAAACTCTGTCTACGTACACAGTATAAACATTCCAGACTCTTAAAGATAAATACATGCACAACAGCATGGTACCCTTTCAACAACACACACCTGTGTAACAACACCAGAGTTGTGTGTTTGCTGTGGTGTTTCCACACCAGCTCAGTGATACATTCAGACACAAACACATCAGATTTACAATCTGAGGTACGCTGAAGGGGCTGTGGGCCAGTGTGAGGAGGTGTGGGCCAGTGTGAGGAGGTGTGGGCCAGTGCGAATCGGTATATCGGTCAGGGTACGTCATTGCTAGTCAGAGTGGGCCGATGTGAGTTAGTGCAGGTCAGTGTGGGTCAGAGTTAGTTTGGATCAATGTGAGTCCTTGTGTTGGACGATGTACAGACCAAAGTCAGGACATTGATAAGAGGGCTCTCATAAGAGTCACACAAACCAAAAGGCATCCACCTGGAGATGTAGTTAGTTTCACAAGTCGTAGTCACTGTTTTTGTCTTACCTATCCCTCCACTTGGTTTTTGTGTTATCGTATCTTTTCGAATACAATTTGATAAAATATTTACTAATATGTCTGTGGTGTCATTTATAGTTTGCAAAATTTAATTTGTAAATTTGATCTATACAAATTAAAACAACTTGAATTATTTGGTAAAGCCTTGCAACAAATATCAGTTTGAAGCCTACAGCTGGTGGAGGATATTATCTTTTTTCTTCACTAAAAGATTTATAACAAATGTTCCACATTAAACACACAAATCCATATAATCCTCCAATACTATGACTAATATTTTAGGTCTGATCGGTTTTCACAGCTTTAGACAAGAAGTGAACTATAACTACTTTATAAATGTTAAGTGTTGCAGATTTTCCCAAATATTGGGAATTCATCCTTCAGAGTAAGGTTTTCTGCCAGAAAATACATTTCGTTCCATTTGGGAAGAAACTTTAGCTGGTTTCCAATTTAAAATAATAATATCAGGTGTTTTCAAGGTCTGTCTGCAGCTCTTATTCTGACAGCGGATAATATATCATTTATTTATTTATTTATATATCATTTATATATCATTTCCTGTGCGCCCTCGTCTTCAGTGGCCGAGCTTTAAATCAGATTTGAATCAGCTTTCTGATCCAACCTCTGCTTATTTGTCCACCTACTGAGATATGGCAGAGCCATCAGGTGTTGGGTTGCGACCCAAACAGAACATAAGAGCCTAATGCTGTGCTTGTATTAGAGCTGTCACATATAATATACAGTAGTTCATTCTCCTGCTCTCACTGACACACACGATGAACGTCCACGATGGTGCCAGATGTGACCTTTTCACAGAGCCCTCCCACCGTCAGTGCTCAACCAACCAGTGCGCCCCTCTAATTCCACTTTAGTGAGCTTAAACCATTTGAACTGTGTGGCCTATTTTCCCACTGGCTCCACCATAACCTGGACAGTTGGACTGTCGAGTGATGTCACAGCAGGTCGACCTGCCTGGAGCTCACACAGCATGGTGTAGGTTTGAAGGTAGGAGTGTTTGAGGTTCTCAGGCTCACGTGAGTGAGGAACTGTGGGAGGTACAGTGCATTCAGATGCCTGGTACTGGGGGTGTGAGCTGAGCTTCTTTAGAAGTATTTATATGTATAGATATATAAATCTGTACGTACAGCCTTTTGATTAGACAAAATAAACTAGGTAAGAATAAATAAGAAATAAGGAATTAAGAAAATACTTTTTTTTTCAATTATATAATTAAATATCTCTCATCTGAAGCAGCCTCACTTTACTTTACATTTCTGAAATAGTATATATTTAAGGGTAAACTATGTCTTTTCCTCATAGAATAACAATATATAGAGATGTACCGTAGGTCCGACCGGACATACTGTGATAGAATATATATATATATATATATATATA